TTGCAAATGAAACACTGTGAAAAGTCTAAATCAGATATAGAAGGCTTGTGTTTCTAATCTGTATACTCAGTGAATTAGGACCTAGATTGCTGAAATGCTATGTGATGGGAATAAAGATAAAACCGAGCAGGCTATGCTTTAACTGGTGCACTGATGAGTCACCACAGCCACTACACCAGCTAAATCTCACACAACCCACTTTGCCACACTGAGATAGTGAATTGTTTTAGTGAACAGATTAGAGAGGATTAAGGTGTTTTTATAGCCACACATTTTGTATGAAACAGCCCAGCTTTTATTTTTTCAACTGAAAACTCAGGAGCAGTGTAGAAAGTGTTACACATGCACTATGTCAGGTCAGGTATTGATTTAAAAGATGGTTGTTTTGCCCAAAAAGAAAACATGAATTCAGTTCCAGCTTGTTATTGATTTAAGAAACAGTCACTAAAGGTAAAGAAATGATACCTACACAGTCATTATAATCTATGATTCAAGCCAAAACAACACTTTGAGTTAAGGTTGACATCAGAGCAGCTAAAAATGCTGTGAATTAGTGAAGTTGGATGGCAAAAACCAAGAGAATTGTAAGACTTTTACTACGAGACCTTTCACTCTATTTTAACATTAACACTATGGTAATATATATATATATATATACACACATTATATTATGTTTATTTAGTTTACTTTTTTGCAGAAAATGTTTCATATGATAAGAATAGCCTAAGCCTTGTGCTGTGTCACAATTTTACCAAAGAAATTTACAATCTTATGAAAGATAATACAGAATTTAAAAATTCTTATAAAGAAATAAAGATACAAACTTGTATATGTTTCCCCACCAAGACCACTAAAGAAAAACAATCATATAAATACATATCTCATGCTAATGATTGTAAAACGCATCATCAAATTACAAATTTGTTAATGTTGATGAAGGGTCATCCTGGCAGTTTATTGTACTAGTAGAGTATAAAGCTGTTATTATTCCTGGTGAATGGACCGATGACAGAAAGGCAGAATTGAAGACAAATGAAGAGAAGCCATCAAACTGGATGGCTTGATTGGACTGGGGCTATTCTGAGAGCTCGGGTTATTTCAGTAAATGTCATTTTTTTTCTGCAGGGAACATAGGATATCGATTTCAGTGTTGTTATCCAAAAGAATCAGACAATATGAGAAATATAACATTCAAGATAAATGATCTCATTTAAAAACATACTCCCCCAGATATATTAACTGTGATTAAAACATGTATTAATCATTTATATTCTTGGAACAAAAGTATGCATAGTAACAATCAAGCTGTAAAACATTAATACATTTATCAGTCACGTTGGATTTATCGCTACCTTAACAGCAACACAGCAATATTAACACTCTGCACTCTGAGCGCTCAAATAGCATAGAAAAGAACCACATAAGTACCAGTCCACTTGTTTGGAAACAGTCCCAGTATAATATATTTGGTAACCTACAACTTGTACTTGTCCAACTAACAGTAAACCCGCAACAGCAGTTTCGTCTCATGCAGTTTTCATCCCAGGTAAATAATGTAAAATAATGTACAATAAAACAGGAAAAAACAGCCAGATGAAGTAATGATTTAATAATTTGACCCTACCCATATGTGTAAAAGCATAAGCTCAGCCCTATCATCTGGTCATTTATAGCACCATATATAATATAGGAAACCTCTAAACCGTCCTCAGTAGACTTGTGTTGTTACACATTAACCAGCAAAGATGCAAGGTCAGGTTACTATATATAGAAGAGGGTTTAACATGCTTCCTACATTACACTGATAATGCTTCCAACAGCATAAGCTACTAGAGTAACTGAACCATCACAATATGATAAACAGACTAGCAACTGAGGG